ATGTGGTTAAAATTACTGTAGCTTAAAATTTAGAGAGTCTAAATAAGTAAAATGCTTAAAATATAGGTCTTCTGTTTTCATTTGTGTATAATGCAGAAAGATGGCAGTTCCTGAATTTGTATTTCAAATTGATTAAGAAATACATCAGGGAAAATGAAAGATTTTGACTTGGATGCAAGTATTAATCAGCACATGATATGAATCAGTGATATGCAATAAAAGAGCTATCAGATAATCATTTTGTTAAAGGTCAAAATAACAAAAAGCTGGCAAGCAAACTGAATTTAGTTATGATGAAAGGAGGAAGGGATGAAGGGCAGGCAGAGCCCTGTGAAAAGGGAGAAGAAGGAAAATAAGGCCTCAGCCTTATCAATGTTCTTGTCATTCCAGTTGATGGCTTTAAAACAAAGCATCTTGTCAAGAATGTGTTTGCATATTTAAAAAACAACAACACCCAAGAACAGCGCCCTTGTAATGTATTTTTTGTTTCTTCCTTTTATTATTATTATTTAAAAATATATGGATATTCTTCCTCTGTCTTACAACATACTTGCATCTGAGCTCAAAACTGACAAGTTGGTTGTCTTTCTGCCTCAGCAGTGAGTTCTCTTCTTTTTTGAGAACCCTTTAGGAAAGTCTTCATAGCTTTCTGGTCTTCTGTTTCCAAGTGTTCCATCTCCATGTTTAGTATCCGGGGGGGGGGGGCAACCGCAACCATGAACACAAATATTTTGTGTGTTGATAGAAAAATAAACACTTGCATAAAATTGGAATGTTGACTTCCAGGCAGAAAGGGTCACTTGCAGGAAATATTTGCTAAGAGATAAGTGCCTCTGATTTTCTTTTTTATATCACAAATATTAGCAGAGTGATATTTGGAAAGTGCACCCTTCGCTTCCCTCCCTGTTCTCTGGCCTTGATTGCCAGCCAGTATGAGAAAAAGATAAGTCCACCATGAGTTGTTGAATAGTAGCTGAAATCTTGTTGTTTATTGTAGTAAGTTAGACCAGGGTCTACTCTAGTTGTGACTTACTACACTAAGCAACAGGATTTCAGTGGGTGTTTGGTTAAAAACTGAAAGAAAGAGAGGAGGCACCATTCTATCCCCTTTGTGATTATTTGCTTTGTCTTAACAGGGGCACAGAAAAGTTTGCAGGGGGAAGGATCATGTCTTTATTACCAGAGCAACAGAGATAATGATGCTCATTTCTTTGATACAGTACTAATATGTCACAGTATGAATGGGGACATACATTCACATGCACATTGGCCCAAATCCTATTGCACAGGTTTGCCAGTACAACAGGAATGATGCCATTATTGGGGCAGATTGCTAGGGATTGACTTCCTTTTATGATTTCAGGGTATGCCTGGCTTGCATGCAGTGTGATTAAATCATATATACCTCAAAATTGAAAAAGGAAGTCTTTCATCAGCAGCAATGATTATAACATCATTTCTGTTGCACAGGTGGACCCTCCCCAGTAGGAATTTGGCCATTGTATTGCATTCAGTGTGTGAGGAGAAGACATTTGCCACCAGGGGCATTCATCTGCTTTTGCAGCAAAGATATTTAAATAGTTCAGTGAGTTAGTACCTGGCTGCTGAGCCAGAGGCTGAGAGTTCAGTTCTCTTCAAGATGCACAATTCCAAAGTACAATTTAAATGGAGGGAACACACTGTTGCTATTTGTTCTTCATTATGTCTTCTGGTTGCCTATATGACACCGTGAAGCAATTATGTTTCATGAGTGATTCCTGATTGGCTGGAATTGGGGAAGACAAAAGCCTAGCCAGGATATCATTATCAGAACAGCACTCAACAAAGAATGAGAACTACAGATCAATGCTTAACAGTAGTGAAAAAAGGATGCATGCACTATTTGCCAAATAACTACTTTTTCTGGTTTCTGGAGCGGGATTGTGGCCCAGAAAGACATTTTTCATCTTGAAAATTATGGGAAGTGAAATTCTTGCACAAATCTAGGTAAAATGTCCCACTGCTCTTTCACAGGCAAATTTATTGCCCATGTAAAGGCCTCTTTAGCTTTCTATCCATCTTGACAAAATTCACAATATGAATTTTATGACTAGAAAGTTTGGAAGACAAATTCTTGTCTCCTTTTCTCTCCAAATCAGAGCTTTGAAGTGACTAATAGTTTGTGATATAATGAAATTTTACAACATTGCTCTTCAGCATATTGAGTAAAAACTAGGTTATCTTAGGTGTGATAAGCAAAACCTTTTAAAGGTTAAAGACATATTTAGGCTTTCCCTAGAATTGGTGGTCAAATTAGAGAAAATGCCATTTGGACTGAACTTCAGGCAACAGAATGTATTGGGTCAGCAGCATTCTTCCTCACTTTCATTCTCTTTCTATATTTTCTATATTTTGATTGCTCTGTTGAACTCTTGAAATACTTCAGTATAGCTCTTGAAATAGTATTTTTCCAAACATTGCTGATCTGAGAGGTCTGGCTGATGAAATTCCTCTTGCTCCCTTTTCTTCTACTTCCTGCAGTCCTACCTCTCTAGTAGCAGTCAGGGCTGCTTCCCGAGTTCTGTGTTGCAGGTAGAGTGGCAGAAAGGACCAGAGAGGAAGGAATGTGTAGCAGGAGCCTAGGCTATTCTATCTCCTGCTTCAGCAACTGGATTTTAAAGCTTAACTAATCAATAAGAAATATGTGGCCCATGCAATCTCTTTTTTTCTGGGCCTGCAGACCTTCATTTCCCTGTCTTGCTGGGGGGAAATGACTGAAGAAGGAGGTTAGCTATTCCTGGAAGAGTCCATGAATCCAATAGTGCGGCTTCTCCTCTAAAGCAACATGCAGATCCTTAATTTAGTGAGGACTCCTGGTATCTTTTAAAAATCAGAAGTAGATCCTGGTCATTTGCATTTCTGAGGGGCTATGGCATGACCCTTGGGAGCAAAAGTGATCCCTGGGTCCTCAGAACTTGCCTACTGCTGGCTTACATTATTTAAACAAGTCTTCCCAGCTTCTGAATTGGATTCACATTATGTAAATACATGTTGTGTATTTTATTGCATATGTCAAGCCTAGATCTTGATGGCAGATTCTGTGCTTGTTTACACTGAAAACACATTTACAGGACATATTTCTACATATTTCTCTATTCTTCAATGAACAGAGTAGTAAGCAACCCAAAATAAGGCATGGATATATCCCAATGAAATTGCCTATTCTCCTTGGGTACTGCAATCAGTGAAAGAAACCATCTGTGCAGTATTTTCATACCACAAGTATCCTCCTTTAATTCTTCTCAGCTCTATATAGTAGGAGGCTGAAATGCTCAGTGTGTTGGGTGCCTAGTTATGGAGTCCAAGATTGGGAGTCTGATTGCCCACCGTGACTCTTGGCAAAAGCTGCACTCTCCCAGAGCAGCCCCAGGGGATGGAAACAGTAAGCTACTTCTGAGTATTCTATACCCAGAAAATTGACTTGATTTCTGGAGTTACTGAAGGCATAGTTAACGCAACTATCTTGAATCTAGAGATCAGATATGCATCCAGTCGCTGTCTTCATAAAAGCTTTGGAACAATTCTACTCTGGAGTAGGAACAGGCTACAATTAAGAAGCCCAGGGTTCATACTGTAAGTGGCTGAGGACATTCTAGCTTTTGTGGTGTGAGTGATGAGAACAGAAAGTTGACAGGAAAAGCCTAGATGGGCAAAGGTTCTCCAACTCACACTGCAACTATTCTGATTCCATGATTGTCTCCTTTATCCTGCACTGCACTGCAAGCTATAATTTATCTTTCATAAGGCTCACTAGCTAAGATCATGTGCAATGACCTAAAAGTTCCAGATGGGAATTCTAGATCACGTATGAGCTGCTGGGTTTTAGGCATTTTCATATTGCAGTAAGCTCCACTGTGTTCAAGGGAGCTTGCTCTCAGTTAAAGGGTGGATAGGACAACAGTTTGTGTTGTTTCAGTGACTAAACACATTTCATCAGAACTAAATTGGAAATGTAAAGCAATAATCAAAGGGATGCCATTGTTCTCTTCAACAAAAACATACATGATTTTGTAAGCCGCCCCTAGTAAACGCTGTCTAGGGGGGCGGGGTATAAATCGAACGAACGAACGAACGAACGAATAAATCTTGAATCCTTTTGTTAGAATTCTCAAGCCTAATCATTCAAAGCAAACAAAAATGTTGAGAGCTTATATTTCATTAAAGCAAAATTACAGATAAAATCATGTGAATAGATTTGTTTTGTAAAAAAAGAAAAGTCAGATAAATTTGAGATGTTGAACACTCCAATTAAAAAATCAGCATGCATGACTGTTATTAAAAAGAAATTCAAAGCATCTGACACAGCTTCTAATGTTACATTTTAAAAGGATTGTGTGTTACTTGTTATTTCTCTGCAGCCAGATTGCCTTATAGTTACCACTGTTCTATGTTGGTATGTGTGCATAGTGCACTGTCATTACCAGCAGATAAGAAAATTGCAGAGGAATTCTTTCTAGTTCTCAGTTCTAATATTGCATCTAGGAAATGGCTATAGAAACACACACATTAAAGAATAGACTGGATTGATGGAAGTAAGGCTTGAAAACTACTCTGCTTGACAATAGTTGTTCAACATTATTATAGCAATACCTGTTATCTTACCATTGCATGTAAACATTAGGCAGCACATATGTTGTTGCAGGCATGTTCTGAAGAGTAACCATGATTTTCTATCTGGGTTTCAACAGACGTAAGCAACAATATTTGGAGGAATAAGCAAGGATGTTTTTCTGATGCTTCAGGAGTTTTGCATTCATCCTTGCAGACTATGTATGCCGGGGGGGGGACTTTTTTTTCCCATCACGTGAAATTCAGCTGGCCTCACAAGTTTATAATGAAAACTTTACAGTTTTCATTGAAAATATTTGGCTTGAAAATGAGTGTAACTTTCTGCATCTCAGAAGAGAATGTATCAAGGAGCCATGCCTTTACAAGCAAACCTGTTTCTTTGTTTTCTACAGCCTACAAGAACTTCCTCAGAAAGTATTTATTCTAGACCTGGATCCAGCATACCTGGCTCACCAGGGCATTCAATCTATGTAAGTATAAATCCATATAACCTCTTATACTACCTTCCTGAAGAAACAACAGCTGAACTTTGTAGGATCAAAATGTCTCCATCTCCATTTATTCATACATTCCCCTGGCATGTTCAAAAATCTGCAAGAAATTCCTGACCTGCTGACATGCATGCTCTGCATGTGTTACTTGCAGAATATTGATCCAGTCTTCAGGCATTGTCAATAATGCTCTGTATGCTGGAGGAAAATGCAACTGAAAGATTCTCCTTTATCCTGCGATAAGTAACTAGAGAATAAAAAAGGCTTTGTGACTTTGAATGCTTATTTTATGCATATGTGGAACTTGCCACCAAGCTTATGTGTTAAGATAGATGCCAGAGAATATTCAGTTTAAACATTCAAAGTACTCTAGTGTGGGGTAGCTATCAGCCTTGCATGATCATGGCCTATCAGTCAGTGAATTTCGTTGTATGGTTTACTGTGTATATACTTACAATGACAATAAATTATATTATTATTATATTATTATTATTTATAAGATATTTCTTGTAAGAGATTCTGGCATGATTCCATGAGCAAGATGAAATAAAAAATAACAAGAAATTATTATCTCAAAAGGTCTGCCAAGAGAGGTAAAGGCTCAGTAACAGAAAGCATATCCACTGAGACTGAAGGTACAATCAGATGGGTGTTTGTCCCACTGTTTGACCTGCTATTTCACTCCTTTTTCTGGCAATCACATGCAATAATTGCTAGAGTAAACTAGCTTGTCCGCAAGTGTTTTTGCTCTTACCTTTCTGGGTCCTCGACACTGACTTCTGCTTTATAGGCATGGATAGAATTGCTCCATTTTAGTGGCTATCAATTTTTGCCTTCCTCTTTCAGTTACTCGTATTGTTAAGTGGCTTAAGAAGAGAGCTACTCCATGATATTGGGGAAATTAAACAAATTCTTTCTATATATATTTATTTTAAATTGTATTGGTACAGCACATCAACATCACTTGGGAAAATATTGAGAACTTCCTCCCAAAAATTGAAAACTTCCTCCAAAAAGTTAACCACATCTTGTTGCTTTGGAGAAGGAAATGAGGGCTTAAGAAAACAATGTAAATTGCCTACAGTACATGTGGGTTTTGAGGTGTGTGTTATGAGATACATTGCCTAATTTTAAAATGAATTTAGTACCGCCTGTTCCATGGAGCTGAGGGAGGAAGGAGAAACTTGTTTTTAATCAATTTAGGGCAGTACTGATGTGCTGCACCATTTACAATATTTTTCTTAAAAAAACTGAAATCTTCCTCCTAGAAGTGGCAGGAGACAGGAGGGGGGCAAGAATGGAGATCTCTTTCTTTTTCTCTCTCTCCCTTTTCTCTAGCTTTGGAGCTGGACCAAATAGGGTTGCTTGAAGAATGTATGCCACTTGGATACAAAAAATCTCACCAAATGGCATCCTGGATCTCTCCCTGATCTTAAGTTACCTTATTTAGCCCACACCAGCCTGCTCCAACTACACATATGTAGACAAGCCCTGAGGAATTCAGAGAAGGCTTATAGACCCAAAGAGCAGAGTTTAGAGAAGCTGCTGTTTTGCTTAAAGATCTAGCCATCATGGCCAGTGACTGAGATATTTTGAAAGTTATTGTCCAGAAAAGTAATTTTTCAAAGCTCTGGCAGAAATCAATCCAGGAAAAGCCAGGAAGAGTGCAAGGAGTCTGTGTGCTATGTAAGTGCTTTGTTATATGTACAAAATGAGCTTAAGAGGAAGGAAAATATTTTTTTTAAATAGGAAATTCTACTGATCAATTAAAATGAAAGCATGGGTAAGGCAAAAAAAAAATAGCCACATCATTTAGATCCCAGGAAATCTGTTTTTTTTTTTTCCACAGAGATGTAGGGTGTCAAAGAAAAGAACTGTCATTCCACAGGTCCATCTGTGGAGTATGACCCCGATGGTAGCTAAAAGATCACACTCCGGAGTCCTAGTCTTTAATTTTGCAGTTCAGTTAAACAAGAAGGGAGTGTCATTGCCCCACTCCCTTTGTCACTGTTCTTTTGTAGACATGGAAAGCCTCATCATGCGGAGGAGGTTTTCTGCTTTAAAACCTTCAATCCCAACACATGAAGAGCACTGCTGGAGGGGACTGGCTAGCACTCTCCCCTCCTGACATGTTTGTTTTGGTTAGATTATTGAACTCCAGAAAGAGCTTCTACAGAATTATCACACAAGAGCCTACCAAGCTTCTGTTCTGTTAAGTTACATGATGGCTAAATCTGATGATGGTACCTTAGCTGGATGAATAGCTATCACAATGGCAATTGACAAAAGCTTAGAAAAGTTAAGGATTTTTGTACTGCACATCACTTGGGCCATACTGACTGGGATAGTCTGACACAAATTAACCTTTCTAAGCACTGCAGCTGATCCATAGATCTGTGCAAGAGCAGAAATAGTCAGGTATATATTGAAGATACTATTTTTGCAACTGTTCACATCTGCTGAAGCAGGTGCCTAAGTCAAACTTTTTATGAATTGCTGGTTTAAAACTGCAGAGTGCACTTTGGCATAAGGCCAGCATGTTTGCATGGGTGGATTTAGAGCCTTTAGCGGGTCTGGGAAAGTCCTCATAGCATAGCCTCTAATCTGTAGCACGTACCAGGTCACTTTTATATATTGCCTCTGTACACAAGGCAGTCAATAAAATATTTTAACAGGGTTTAAAATGTCCAGACATGCATACTCAGGTTTTGACAAAAGTGCCTTTTTAAAATTACAGTTGCACAAAGTTGTGTGTTAGGGCTAGAAATTATTGTAGCTGGAGAATGATGTAACAGGATGTTCCCTTGTAGCATAAATTTACAACTAATGTTAACAGGTGTTTTCTGTCACAGTACATAAATCAGGTAATACAGACAGAAATATTGACTACCTTCCTTATGAGCAGCAGTGTTGTTTGCTGCAAATACTACTGAAATCTATGAAATCCTGTGTTTTTTCCAGATCCTTCTGCATTGTCAGAACCATCTAATCCTATTCCCTTCCTAAATTCAGAATGATGCAGCTGAAATTGTTCCATTCTTTGGTGTAATATTTTACAATACTATCAGTGGACTCCTATGCATATATATGCAGGAGTAAATGCCATTACATTCAGTGAGTCACTTCCCAGTAGACACACATAGCAGTATGCAGTAAAGCTGCAGCTGTGCACACACTTACCTAGGAATACAACACTTTAAATAGTTTGACTTCTGAATGAATTCTGGATAAACATGCTTAGGATTTTATTTATTTACTGCCCTTCTGAACTTGACTACATATGAAATAGTTCATCCCAGCTTAATTGAGTAATTGTCAGTAGTTATATAGCTAAAGTGACACCACCCATACACAAGAGAGAATGGTCATCAGACTTGGCAGAACTCCCAAGATTTGCAGAAATATGGATGAAGTCTGGTAAAAGAATCCCTAAAACAGGGAGAAGCCCTCAAAAGAAGCTAAAATACAGCTCCTTGTTACTGGTTCATTCTGGTTGTTGTAGAAATCCATCAAAGCGGAGCTTGAGTGGTGAGCTTCTATATGTCATTGTGCAGAATTCTAGCCACATTAATGGCCAGAGGAAGGTAGCTGGGTTAAGTGACAGGATTTTGGTGGGGGTGGGTGGGAGAGAGGGAGAGACTCTATGAGCTAAGAGATGAGCAAACAAATCAGTGTAACTGACTAAAGCATAAGAGGAGATGAGAGGACAGCCAAAGGAGCAGAGAGGAGTTGAAACAGCACAAGTGCAGAATGAGAAATAGATCACACAGAGAGGAAGAGGAATGATGCTAAAGAGGAAGCAAAGCTCTGTACAGGAATGTAGAAGGGTGGGACAGGAAACTCACTTATTAAGCTAGACAGTGTTTTGTTATGGGTTTCTATTGCTCAATTGTTGTTAGGATTTCTCTTTTAATATTTCTAGTATTTCATAGTTGCTTGACAGGTGATGTGGCTGAAACAGATTTACACAGTTTCCCACTCTGCAAAGATTACATTTTGGAGTATATAGACTTGGCTAAAATCTAAATATTTCTATTTGGTTTTTATAATGGCTCGAGTAGTGTTTGATGTAACTAGCCATTTAGTTTTTGAAATACTGGAATTTTATTCTCCTTAACTTCATAGCTTGTGGTTGAAATCCTGCTGCTTAGTGTAGTAAATTGTAAATAAAGTATCAGTGGGGCTTTGATTAATCAACTCCTCTAAAAGTTGCATTGATTCTATGGGCTTATTTTCATTGCAGCTTACTATGCTAAGCAACAGGAGTTCAGCCTGTGTGTTTGTTCCTGATCTAATTTTATTCTGATTTTATCAAGAATGTAAAAGCTATTGAAGGAACTGTCCAGTACTGAGACTAGTAGAATTAGGGCAGTCTGCTCTGACTAATAGCTACATTCAAGGTCTTCCAAGGGCTTTTTACTCCAAAACATATAACCTGAGATGGCAGGGATTGAACCTAGAATGAATCTTGCCATTTCAGGTTGGGCCACATGTCATTTCAAATATTGAAACTTGTGACCCAAGACAAATTACCAAGATGACATCTGAGCATCATCTAGCTTGTTATGCCCAGCGTTCTGTATCATGAATATTTTAAGTTTCTGAAATGCCCATAAAGCCATCAACCCTGCAGGATGCCGTTAGAATGACCAATAAAACCTGAAACCATGTGAGCCCACCAGATGTTTGCCACTTCCCACAAAACGATTACGGTAAAGCATTTAGAGATTTATTTTCCTAACTGTCTCTGGGCCAGGTAAGATGGTGAAAGTCACAAAATAAGGACCTTAGATACTGAGCCGAGCTGAGGCAGACATAGTGAAGCTCAATTTTACACCTTTTTCACAGACACAACTAAATTTGTTTTTTTTCTCCCAGGTTTCTGATTGGTAAGGATATGGCTGCCTTCAGTGAAATTGAACTTGACTTGTATTTCTTTTATTGTGGAAGGATTTTTTTAAAAGGATCCTTTCATTTTATATTTTGATATATTTGTACATAATTTCAAATGAACTGGAAGTTTTTTTAAGCACCTGCTTTGGCAATGGGTGGGATAAAATTGCAGTTGTATAACTTTATATAGCTTTATAAATTTACAGTGTAACATTTTAAACTTTACTATCATTAGACTGCTGTCTCCCCTCCCTTTCTCAACATGTATTTCATATAGACATTGACGAGCAGGCTGCATGATGTATTTTGTTGATGAGAAAATCAAACCCACAATAAGGAAGTTGCTTCCCAAAGGCTACCCACTGAGTTACTGGCAGAGCTGGATTTAATTCATAACACAGTGGGACTCATGTACTGCCAAAACTGGGGTAGGGAACATAATGCAGCAACAAAAATAACAGCAAATTTTCCAGTCTATTGAAGATGCTATAACCTAAGGAGAGAGAGAGAAAAACGTTGCTTTTTTTTCAAATATAAGACTGGCAACTGCGGATTTATTTAACTCTCCTAGATTGGCAAAGTCCTTCAAACATGAATTACATGCAAGAGAATGTGTGTTTATGTCTCTGTGTTAATTTATCTTCTGTCTTTGACCTTCAGGCAAAAGTAGACAATGAGATCCTTGATTATAAGGATTTAGCAGCCATTCCCAAAGTCAAGGCCATTTATGACATTGAGCGTCCAGACCTAATTACTTATGAGCCCTTCTACACTTCCGCCTACGAGGAGAAACAGGAGAGGCAGAGTCTTGGAGAGGTAATAAACTGGGGAGCCACCCATTCTCTTTTTATATGCACTATTAATGAAATCCAGCTTAGTTTTTGTCCTCTTTGTAAACTGATGCTGCTCTTGATTTTCTATCCAAATTCTTCACGTCTCTGTATCCTCAAAAGAATTGTGATGAGCTTTGTCTTGCAGCATGAAGGCTGCTACAAAAACAAGCATGTGGCTCTCTGTGCCTTTCTTTTTTTCATTTTGTTAAGAACACCTCGTGTTTGGTTCACAGTGCCCATTTCCTCACTAGCTGCTAGATGCTGCCAAATGCATAAGTTAATCAAGCCTGGTGGTGCTACCCAACAGTTTTCAGCCTCAAAGGACCAGAAAGGCGTTCTTGACCTTTTCATGGCAAGAAAGGATGCCGGTTGAGTAGGTGTGACACAGTCCGAAGGCTCACTACAGCATTTGCATTGAGCATGAGCGACACCAAAAAAGTGACAAACAGATTGATTGGTTGCAAGGGAATTATTTGGGAATCTCTTTAAAAAGCTTTGTTACAATTCAGAATGAACCAAATACAGTCACAATAAACTACTCTCACCTTCCATTTAATAACCACCACATCCTAGAGCCATTAGCAGAATACCCTGATGACAAACATATTCATAGATGTCATAAATATTTCAAGCATTCCTAAATTAGCATTATAACATGCATTAAAAGGGCTAATCGGTGCTCAGTGGTCAGACAGAGCATAACCTGCACTAGCTGAGTGAAGGTATGGCGAGGAATAAATTGCTCCACCCATTAAACATTCAAGAAATTAAGACAAGCAGCTATTTACTTGTGATTTTGTATCTACATGGGACTTCTTTTTTATCATGCCACCTTTCATACAATCCATGCTTCCTTCCAGATACAGTGTGCCATATTTTAGAGCTAGCAGATATTGAGCAAATTTGTACTTAATCCACCCATGTAAATTCCTCTGTATCATCAGTATCTTAAGAAAAAATAAACCTTCTCCAAGGGACTCCTGAATAAATCTCCAAATAATAGATCATTGGCCATTGGAAAGAGCTTTATCAGATGACTCTGTGCAGACACAGTGGTGGCAGAGATAAATGATTTATTCACTGCTGCTACTGCCACAGAGTAAGCCTTCATGTGGGCTCTTGAATCTGACTTATCTGGTCAGATTCACTCCCAAGTTTTTGCCCTAGTCTCCCACTCATTTCATCACCACCAGAGAGCCAATTTGACTCTACTTTGTAGGAGGGGATGCTTAGGAATGATTGTGTCAAGAGGCCCTGGCCATTTCCAGAGGTCAACCAGAACTTTGACAGAATGACATGCTGAAGCAACAGGAAACCCCCTAAGAGGCCGAGGGGTGATCATGTTGGCCACAGGCATCTACCCATCCCCAACATGTTTTTTTTTAAAGAGTCTTCTTTAGGCCAACCACCATAAAAGCAGAACAGTCTTTGCAAACTTTCAAAACCTCCAGCTCCCTTCTTTAGGCAAGGTGTTATCAAACAAAAAACAAAACAAAAACCCAGCAACAACAGTAGGGAAAATTGGGAGGGGAGGTAAGGAATGGGAATGCTTTCATCTTAAAGGCATGCCATGGACTGCATGTTGTTTCCAGATATAATGGAAAGGAAAGGTCTGTAGACTTCCAAACTGGGTTAATTAAGTATTAGGTTTGGCCCCTAAGCTCAATGTAAAGAGGCGAAGTAGTAGAAGGCAAGGAATTTTAATATTCTGTATTGGAAATATAAACAACCCTCCTCAGAACTCTTGCTCCAAATTTCCCATACATCTCTTTAGATAGAGTGTATAGACTGTGTGGATAGTTCCTCTGTTGATAAGTCTGGAGAAGGTTTTAGGTGGAGGATTAGATAAAATAAGTTAATTGAAGCCCTATTGAATAGCTTAACCTATTTTGTTAGGCGGTATGAACACTTAAAAAATACAAGCCCAGTTTCAGGTGGTAACTCACCCCACCTTTTACTGATGAATGACTAAACTTAGCATTTTCCAAATCATACAACAAAGCAGAGATAGTAATAAGGAAATGGCTAACCATAGACGTTCAACTGAAAATTGAGTACTAGGCTCATGCTAACATGAAGTTGTCCAAATGAAATCAATACACTTGATTCAGGGAATATCAGTTCTGGAGCCTCGTGGCACAGTGGTTAAACTGCTGTACTGCAACCAAACTGTGTTCACAACTTGGGGTTCAATCCCAGATAGCTGTCTCAAGGCTGACTCAAGTCTTCTATCCTTTCGAGGTTAGTAAAATGAGTACCGAATGCTCTAGGGAGGCAATGTGTAGGCTGCATGATTCACTTGTAAACCACCCAGAGAGTGCTTAAGCACTATGGGGTGGTATATAATCAGCACGCTTTGCTTCATAAAGTGACAGGGCAGACAAAGGAGCTTGCTAGATACTGGCGTGTACAGCTTTAAAAAACTGCAACAAAACCAAAACATTTTGTTTTTGCTGGGAGCAGGAAAAGTTAAGAGTGGAGAAGAACAGGTCGGATGGGAGTTGCTTAACCCTCATGTTTGCAAACTATTCTACTTACAAAATGGAATTTAATACAGGAAAGGGTACTTTTCTGAGATGTTGTCCATAAATGTGAGTTTTTTTCTGGCTCTGCTATGAAAACAACTGGACAACCTTGGAGTAAGCAATATCTTCTTTTTCTATTTCTGTCTTCTTATTTCTCACATTTCTTTGGAAAGATGCTTCTTGGTTATTGAGGATGGCTCCAAGTGTTGCTCTGAAGGAAAAACTAGCAAATAGAATATGTTGATTAATAGTATCTGAAGCAAAGCTCATAGACAGAAATCAAACATGAAAAATATGAAGTCAAGCTCGTAAATAAGCAGAGTCAAACCAGAGGTTTGGTCTAAAAAGTAATTAGTTCTTATCAATAAAATTGCCTTGACTTCAGTGCTTCTAATCCTGAAGTCTGTGTATCAAAGTAATCACTTCCTTCATCTGACACAATTTACATCATATTAATGCATGATATGCACACATTAAAGCATTATCTGAATAATTTTGCTTAATTTGTACCAAATAAAGTAACTAACGTGGTCTTTGCTTGCCGAGAACACCCTGAAGTAGGGCCCTATTGCAGAGTGAAGAGAATAATTTACAGTTCCTTGTTGCTGTGTACAAGGATGAGATCAGCAAAGACTTACATCACTGCTGCTATTAAAAGGTAGTTCAGGATGTAGCCATGGCACTGGGATGAGGTACCTGCTACTATAGGTACCTGATCCTTCTCTCCCAATGGAATGAAATAGTTTTTCCTCAGTTGTAAAAATCTCCCCAATAAGAATCAATTCTAATTTGCCAGACACGGAGGGGAAGAGGATGCAAAACTGGGAACTGGAGAATTCTTCAAGAAGTGTGTGAGGAGTGTTAGAAAACAATGTGTTGTCGTCTTTTTTTAAGTCCCAGATGTTTACTATAAAAATATCTGTGCAGACTGTGCACAGTACTTTTATGCCCAAGTCTTAGCAAAAATTATTCTTGGTAGCTTTTTCATAAGAGGGAAAAATTGGCAATTGAAAGAGCTTTGAAGACACTTTCTTTAGCTCCTAAAAACTGAACTGGCAAATATTTGCAGAACAAAATCAGTAATGAAACATAATGCCATATTGATGGTAGGTTTTATGTGCAAGAACAATAATATTTACCTAGAAAACTGTTGCATAATTGAGACTGTTAGTTCATGTAACTTTATGAGGTACTTTGATTGCTCCCTTCTTTTCTGGTCTCTATATTTGCTGCTTCTGGTATTTGTCTGTTACCAGGAAAACAAATAAAATAAGCTTAGGGAATTCCTTTATCAAACCTTCTGGACTGAAAACAAAAGGAAAATAAATAAAAACATAGAGAAACAATGCCTGACATTTTTATATAGAGTCAAAAGTAAGTCATTCTTCCTTTCCTTCAGCTACTCTTTTGTATATTATGTGCACTTGTGACTCTTTAAGAAGTTCTCATTTATTGTAGATAACAGAATATACTCATGTCCACTGAGGAGAATGCTATATTGTTAAGGTCATTTTTCATCTAAGAGCTTTAACAGAGTTCAGGTACATTTTCTGAAGACTGGTGATAAAGGAGATACCAAACCTGAATCACAAAATGAGAACAATTATTATCATCTTGCCACAGAATGGCTGGGTTTGTTTCCTCTGTATCGTTGTCTGCTGTTGTTCCAGTGTGTGCCGATTAACATATGTAATAAATACTGCAGGGTGTTTTTCTTGATCCTTCAAGAACTGCTATGGTTTTTCTAATTATTTGAAGAAGCATCTTTTTCCATGTACTATTTCTTGTCACTAAAATGTACTGGTCTCAAAGTTGTCTTTGACATTTGTCTTCAATCTCTTTGTCATAGACTTGGCAGTTTTCTTTGCATCTTCTTTGATACCTCCTGTATTTGGCCCCTGAATCTCTATATTAGGAGTCCGCAAAATACAGATCTAGAACAACTAGCTAGTCACTGCATGATTTACAATAGATTGGTTAGGGTGTCTGAACTGGGCATGTTTAGCCTATAAAAACGGAGATTAAGGGGAGATATAATAGCAGTTTTCAAATACTTGAAAGGCTGTCATATAGAAGAGAGACAGAATCTGCTGTCAATAATTCCAGAGTACAGGATGGGCAACAATGGGGTAAAGTTACAGGAAGCCAGATTTCAGCTGAATAACCTCCTAATTGTTAGAGCAGTGTGTCAATGGAACCAATTACCTCGAGAGGTGGTGCTTCTGGAAGCATTCAAGAGAAATTTAGACAGACACCTGACAGATATCCTTTGATTTGTATTCCTGCATTGAGCAGCGGGTTGGACTTTATGGGCTTATAGGCCCCTTCCAACTTCATTATTCTATGATTCTATGATCCCCGGCTATTTAACTGCAACAAGAAAAAAATGGCTTTTTTGAGGAAGGACTGTGATTAGAATCCTGTTGGAAAAAACATGACTGCAAGGAGAATTGTGTAAGTGCATGTCTAGTCATGAAGAGGATGCTCTTGCCAGTTACCATTGCATGTGCATTTTTCCCCCAACAGGATTATGGTATCCTATAAGAAAACCAAAGTGACTCTGACAGGGCTGAAGTATGACCACTCCTATTCTGCGTAACAAAACTTTATTTACTGCTTCATGCTTTTTATGTTTCTTCAAGCATATTCTTGTGGGTATTGTATTTTAGAATACTTTGCAATTTCTGAGTGCGTGTCCTGATAGTGTGCAGGGTGACAAGGAAAAGTGAGAAATACATTCACAAACACACATGCTGCACAAAAGCTCATTTTTAAAAGTATTGCACAACATGGGAAGGGAAGGAGACAGCATCAATCTTTATGCCATTAGCCTGTGAAAAGGATTCAGTTTCTTACTGTAACTTTTCAAAACACGGTCTGCTTTTAAATAGAGTTGTGAAAATCTCATTTTTATTTTGTTGCATTATTCCAAATCCCGCTTCTGTTTTTTTCCTATCCTAGTTTTGTGCTGGTTTGTGAGACTTCGTGGTTTCTTCTGAGACTGACATCTGTGCATGTTTCTAAGCATTTCTCTAATGTGCTAATTTATTTGCTGTAGTTTGTGCAACCTCTACAATTGGCTAAAGCATGTGTGTGTGTATTTTTTCAGTTATGCATGTTTAGCAACTCACATTTTTATACATGTACATTGTTTTGTACTCACTTGATATCGGTAAGCCTCACAGATGTGTGAATTCTTGAGGCAAGGTTCTTCTCAAAGCAAGTCTCAGAAGGCAGAAAAACACTACTTTTGTCATACAAATTATTTTCCAGTCCTATTTTTGAACCTTATTACAGAAAATGTTTTCGTATAGCTCCACCCAGTGGACATCATCTAGTTCTGATGATTTGTTCAGCCACCGAACAAGCACAGGGGATATAATTTGCCAGTGAATCCAAAACTCATTTAGGAATAAATAGTCTGGTATGTAAAGTAAGTGTGTGGTTGCAGCAATTCTCATATATTTTAATATTTTAATTTATTTCCTGATGACAAGATATTTTGCCATAGTCCCTGAGAAGCAAGGGAAGACAGATGTCTTGTCTCCCTACTAGTATTAGCGCCCAGTTGTGTTGCTTTTTATTATTGTTCACTTTCTTTGAGGAATACTGTCTTGGCTGTTAATCCCGAATATCAGTAAATAGAATGGTGTCTCTTTCCAGTAGTAACATTGTAACAGCCTCCTTATACCTCACAAAGGGGCCGTTACGTCACACTCAATCACTCACTCTTGTTCCCACTGCCACCAACCATTCCTTCAAATGAAGCTTCAGGCCAAAGTATGATTTCAAAATAAAAACTTAGGTTTATTGTGTACAAACAAAAAGGAATGGTAAATCACTTGAATATAAATAATAAAGCAATCACTATTTTAATATAACAATCACACACTCTCACAGACCCTCACTATGTAGCACAGTTCTTATCTCACAGTATCTCCAAGTCCTAACGGTCCCTAACTCGCTATCTCAACCCTATCTCAAAGCCCTATCTGGCCCTATCTCAATCTATCTCTTTCTCTCACACCATTCACTCCCCTTATAAACAGCAGCTCCACCCCTTATGTCCCACCCTCCGTCACACCATTGGTAGATGACACACAGCTTCAGCAGTGACGGGCAGGTGATGTCATAGCTGTATGTAACAATCATCATTTCATTGAAATGGTAATATGATCAAACTTTGGGGTTTGATCCAAGAATGTTATTTGAGGGATTATGAAACTTCATGCTCTCCTATGCAGTCCTGAAGACAGTCTAGGGATGGGCAACTTCTTATCCTTTCCTTATTTTTAATGTCACATCCTCTGGTTTCCACTTCATAGTACAGTACTCATTATGGAACTTGTCTTGTGAACACTTTATTCAGCAAAATTCACTGCTAACAAGTTATTAACTGGAGTTTTTCTGGAATTCTTCAAAATTTATATAGCATTAGTTTATTTATATCTAATTGTTCATTTTAGTCATTTATTTAGACATATATTTATTCATTTTAGTCATTTGTTTATTCATTGTATAAAATGTGTAGGCTCCACCATAGCAAAGATTTCGAAGCTGTGTTCAATAAATTAAATGAATCAGATAGAAAACACTATTGGCCAAAACCTTGCTGGTGTTTGTGTAAGCATTGCGTAACTTGCTGCTACTAATTTCAGCTAATTGAAGAGGTGCAAGTCTTCAGCCGCCGGACGGGCGTTTTGCGCCCTGGAACGGCGTGGCTGGCTTTTGCCCCCAGCGTCCCAGATGGAGCGAGAACGTTGGGCGACACGTGGGCGAAACTCTCCCAGTTTCGGGCACCCACCCGCCCTCCCTTGTGTTAGTGTGGCTTTAGTGGTCGCCTTTTGAGGGGCCGGATAGGAATTTTTGACCTTCAGCCTGATTGGCTTTTGGCTGGGGGGATTTTTCGCCTATCCCACACTACTGACGGGGTTGTTGGCTTTGAGGTGGTTTTATTTGGTCACACTGGCGGGTAGTGCGGAAAAGCAGGTGGTCTCGGTGAGTCCCGTTTGTAAGTCCAACTAGCCAACAGCGTGTCTGACCTCTCAGCTCTGCGGATTGTGCGATCACAGGGCCGGTGCAGGAAGATGCGTTGGGTCACTCCTGGATCAACAGTCATCAATTAAGGATGGCTCGAGGTCTAGGGGTGTTTGTTTAGCGGCCGGCCAGGTTCTTGCTGTCAGTAAGACAGCGGGAGCATGGGGGCCGGGGGCTCGCCCAATGGCGATCTTATGGGGGATTTTGATACGCCTGTTTCCTGTTTCCGCACTACAGCAGGCCCCCCAACAGCTTTAAGAATTTGAATTTGGTTGAATTAATTAAATAAAGTGTGGCCCGTTTAAATTCAAGCTGTTGACTCGCATATTTATTCCGGGGCTGGGGGGGGGCAAAGGACCATGTTGGTCAGGTGCCCAGTTGCACAACTGAGAAGTTACCATGGCTTCTTGGCTGGTATTACCTGCGGCAAGTTATCCAAATCTTATATGAAAACCAAGAGGATTCCAGCCACTTTCTTCTCGAAAGAGAAAGGTCTTCAGAAAAGACCATAAATAAGGAAAACAGCACTTGTCTAACCTCAGTTGAAAGGCAGCTCCACAGAATAGGAGTCAAACACTAAGGCCCTACTTGTGGACTCCAAGCTGATGTCTGAAGACATCATTAATCAGACAGGATGACAGGGAAGAAGAAATGGCTTTAGCTAACTTGGTCCAAAGCTATTCAGTACTTTCTTTAGTATAATCAGAACCTCGATCCTTCCTAACCCAGTAGGAAATAGGCAACCAGTCCAGTGCCTTGGAAAACACATGCTGATAATGAAAAAATAGTTTACAGTAGCCAGGGAGCTGCATTCTGTACTGTCTGCTGCTTCTAGTATATCCTCAACAGCAACCCTTCATAGAACATATTTGGTAGGAATCTGGGTTTGAGGTTGGCAATATTGCAATGACCATGCTACCCCTGCATTCTGGAGTGACTGTAGCTTGTGTACCACATGCACTGGGACTGAAAAAAAATTGGTTTTCTGAGCCATTTACTCTTTGAGTCATTTACAATGCTCGAACCTCTAGGGACAGAGATGACTCTGGGGCTAAATGAAAACCATGGGAGTGTTGCTTTGTAGACTTTGATTACAAAAGAGGGGCTATAAGAATTAAGTCCCAGATATCATCAAATACTTAAGTTTTTGAAGTCATTAAATTCTACCTGCACATTTCTTTTTACTGCTCTAACTGGACATAGATTAGTAGTTTGTAGACTTTGTTTCACATTATTTTCTTATTAAAACCTTCTAAGAATTTGCAAAAAGAGTGATGAATCCAAACTTTTCTTAACAGACTCAGAGTTCAAGATATGGCAGTTCTCCTGTGCAGGATGAAAGTGTAAGTTTAAAAAAAGAGTACAAAATCCGTTGAGGTGGTTATTGGTATGTCAGAACATTTGGCATGAAACATGGTTAGTAGATTCTGGTTTCTCTTACTTCTGTGCATACGCTTGAATAGAAGTTTGCTAAACAGAAGCAAAATGTATTTGATTTATATATTGTGAGACATTATTGGAACAGTTGGCTAGAATCTAGTTCATTTATGTCATGGCAATAAGTAACCTCAGAGACTAGGTTGGTTGGATACAAAGGTGTCCTCACCATGGGGAAAGTCCCTTTTCAGAGATGAACTTGTAAAATATGTCTGTATATAAAACTTTAAAAAAATGAATCCTTGGTAGGCCATCATACATATTTGGTTGGCTGCTTCAACTTGGAAGGTCAGTCATACATTGTGCTGGCCTGCAGTACAGTATTGTACAAGAAAAAATAACCCAAAAATGGGACATGTTAGCAAACTCTTGTCAAAGTAGAAGAAAACAACTGTAGAACTTATAGATTTCTGCAATGGCATTTTGTAAACTGTTACACAAGCTTTTGCAGGATTGTTTGTGCAATAGCACGTCATTCTATTGTCCTTCCATTCACAGTTCTTTTGGATCCAGAGGTGGAATAAGCTGCCATTGTTTGTGTGGTGAAACAAATGTACAGTAATTTCACCATGAGCTCAGGCTATCCAAGGCACACCCAAGAACCCTTGATACAACAGTTTTGTCGGGCTTTCAGATCCATGCTAGGCTGTGAATATCACTGAGTGGCATTAGTCACTAGCCAGAATCCAGTTGACATAAACCATTGTAAATGTGTTTGCCATTCCTCAGCAACAAGTCCATCTTGTGATGCTTGTTTGACCTATTGCATAATGCACAGCTGAAAGTGCTTGGTGGATAGCACTTCTGTCTTGGTGCAGCTGTAGACATAATGTTGTGTTATGTGTACATACCTACACAATTAGGCTTTAGCCATTACCTCTTAGCCTGAGGTATTGGTAGCTGTAAGATTGAAATGGTCTTTTGGAAGAGTGCTGGACTGAAAACATTCAAAATTATCTCACATTCTTGGCTTTCAGTGACAATTCATAGTTTGAATCAGAAGGCGGAGAGGCACATCATAAAACTTTGTGATAACACATTAAAATACAAAAGAGTATAGTTGTTTCTTTTACCTTTTTATGCATGTTTTTGATATTAGGAGTAAGGGTAAAGATGCAGCAAAGGTTTAATTTGCCTAGGTTTTCTTTCAGCCAGCCATTAAACCTGTCTTTAGTGCCAAGGTTCATTAAATATTTGGCATATTGTAATGGAAGCAACCCAGAAATTTTAGAGTTTGTTTCATCCCATGAAACTCTGAACCAACAAAATTATACACTGATTTCTGGTTTTGAATGGTTTCTGTTGAACTACAACAATCATCAAATTATTAATTTTTGAGTGTAACCTTTGTAGAAAGTATTTATAAAAGTTACCAGTGTCTTCTTTTATGAAATTACCCTTAAAAATATGTGATTAAAATGAATATATAGAGGGGATCATGACTGAAGACTTGAAGGTCAAACCATGAATAATTTGATTGAGGTTTTTAAATTTCAATTGTTCGTGTCACTTTTTTAACGTGTTCATATTCTTTTAATTGTCTTGAAACTTTTACTGATATTAAGGTAAGTGTGATACATTAGACCAAAATATCTGTAATCTTCTTTTCTCTCATGTCTCATAGTCTCCAAGAACACTCTCTCCAACCCCATCTGCAGAAGTAAGTTTAATGAAACGTTTGCCTCATGTTATATTCTTGCAAAGGTAACATTACTGAAAGAAAGTTATTGTTTGTCCTGGACTGCCAGTTCTAAACCAAGCATCTGGCAATTTGCAGTCCTGTGAATATCCAGCCCACCCTATAAAATGCACCTGCTAGATTTATTTGAAAGTCTTTGCTAACTGCTGTCAGAGCAACTAATGCATTTCATCTTACTATGGCAGTGCATGGGTGTTTTTAAAGAGCTACTTAAGGGGCAATAGCAGCAGCATTTGATAGCACGCGTAGGCAGTGAAATGTCAGAGAAAATTAAAACAGGTTACATTACTGAAAAGTAATGAAAAGAAAGTGAATAATTTTTATACCATTGAAACGAAAGGCAAGCAGTGGAAGAAATAGCATATTCACATATGTTGGGATTGTATGGAAGCAGATAGACACTTTTTTTTACCTTTTCCAGTAACATAAATATAGCACACCATGCATTGTTTAAGATGGAGTATACATCTGCCTGCGACAACCCACTTCCCTTCCATGTACCAGAGGTTTAGTAGAATTTACCAGTGTTTAGCATTTCAGTGATAGACTTTGGTGGGCAACTTAGATACTATGGATATTAGTGTGTGTACCAATGAAGAGAGGTTTCATTTTTTAAAAATTGCTTTTATAGCTGCCATGGACTTCTCTTTTTCAACAATTTACATGTTACAATACCTTGATTATACCGGATTTCTGCAGAGTGACTGAAACACAGGAGATCTTTTGTTCTTTCTAAGTTACCACAGCTTAAAAGCAAGAATTCACATTTAAGAAATGTAGTGTATAGTTGTTCTTTAAGAAAGACAGTGCACAAGAAATCGTGTTTTTAATAGGATCATTCATGTAACTCATGTTTCATTGGTGTCAGGGAGGTGTTCTGCTAAAGAGAACTAGACTAGAGGATTAAGCAATACCCGCAGATTCCCCACCTATGGATTCTGCCAACCCTCACATTAGCACGGTGATGGAAGCAGCCTCTTGTAACACCTAGTTTGATTCTGATTATCATGGCAGTGAAAGGGAATTAATCTGGGGAAACAATTTAGCAATATCTTGAACAGTGCCTCTTCTCTCAGTTATAAACTGCATAAGTGGGACCATTATGGGACTGACTATTATTTGTTCGTCATATATATTCTTTTTTCAGGGCTATCAAGATATTCGGGATCGGATGATACACCGGTCTACCAGCCAGGGTTCCATTGGTTCTCCTGTGTATAGTCGTCACAGCTACACTCCCACAATGTCACGTTCTCCACAGCATTTTCATAGACCTGGTAAGGCCTGGGGAAATTTTGTGAGGAAATCAAGAATATCTCATTCTTTTGTCATGTAATCTTATAAAAATGATCTCTTCCTCTTGGTATCAGATCATTCCTTTCACATAGAGTTATAAAACTGTTCTGGGAATTTGGGTGGGTGGAAGAGGGATCCTGGTGATATCATAGGAGACCAACCAATCAGGACACTGAACAGCTGGCTTCAGCCTGCTTAATTGTTCATTTCAGTGCATAAATGTTTGAGAGAAAACATTATTTGAATCTAACCCATGAGGAAGGTGCTGCCAGAGTAGTCGCACTACTCTAAAAATGTTGTCTTTCTTCATCCTTAGTCAAAAAGCTCATCAGTATCACAACACTTGTTTGAATTTCATGCATAAAATAGTGAAATTTGCATTTAAGAGATATACCTTGAACTATATTATTCTTCAGCATTTGAACCTTATTTCTACAAATTGTAGTAGTATAATTTAATTTTTAAGCTATGTTGCTGAATTCAATGTTCCCTGAGTATAGTAGTAAGAAACAGTACCTTCTGTCTGTAGCTCTCAAAACACCAGGGATGTGTTAGTGACTGTCATTCCATTCTGGTTTTGTCTTATGGGTTAATTTAGTCCCATTTGCCTTCAAAATCAGCTTGGAGAAATTCTAAAATTCGTTTATTGGCTCATGTATAATTTGCAGCAATTTTCCATTAACGTATTTTCCCCACTTATAGTATATTATATGTTCACTGATCAGAATTCCTTTGCCCTGTGTTTAAAGCAGTGGCAGGGGTATCTTGTGGCCTCAATTGTTGATGAGGAGAGGGAGTCATCTCAGACTGTCAGAGTGACGTCTCTTTGTCTGAACCACCAATTGGAATGAGGAGAAATCTCTTCCTTGTATGCAGGGTTTATATATTACTATTTTGGCTGGTTTTTACTATTCTTTTAGGCATGCCACCTAGCATCCATTTAGATTATAAGGTGGTGTAGGTCCCTAGTTCCCCCACCCCCAGTTCTTTTTCTTTTCTTATGTCATTCACCTTTGGGAGCTTTCAGAAAAACCAAGTTCCATCTCGTCTTCCAGAGGCATCTTGGAGTTTAGTTAGATACTATCCTAAGGAAGAGCTGGGAAAAGCAATAGGTGATGAGCAGGAGCAAAGGATAAATTATTAGACGCTTCTGCTTATAATTGTTATTAAGCTTATTGAGTTTAGAGTTGCTATGAAACTTCTGGAAGGAAGTTTCATAGAATGATAAGGAAACAATAACAGCCTTTTCAAAGAACTAATTCTACACATCTTTTATTTTCTTAGTTAGATAAATATCTTACTACGTTAAATTGAGCAAATTTAGTAAAAATTCAGTAAAAACGTGTAATAGAATAATATATTTTTATTTGCTAGGATGCAGAGTTTGGCAGAGCTATTGCATTAGATGACAATTCATGAAATCCCCAGCCCAGAGGCTGTGGATTCTTGATGGTATAGTTTAAAAAGGAAATTTTCTAAGCTTTGTTGCTACACTGTGGTTTGTAGCAGTGACACAACACAACAGCTAGAGGGTGGTAGGGATTTAGGAAGGTCATCTAATGAGGTGAAATGAAGCAAAGTATGTGAGGTACCATGCTGAAGTGGCACTTGTTTTGAGATAGATAGACAGACAGATGAAACATTTAGTACAGCAAGAAAGTTTTATTCCTCAGTTACAGTAAAATGATCAATTTATATCTCTGAAGGAAATAATGCTTGTTTCACCCCTAATTTCTACCATTTGCCCAAATTAAACTTGCATTTCCCCCTGCTAATCAGATGACAGTTTGCAGGAGATTCGTGCGGTATTGTCATGGCTCTGTAGGGTACCCCCCCCAAAAAAAACCTGATAGTCAAAAACCGACAGCTATCTCATGAGAATATCACCAGAAGTTTCTGTGCACAACATAAGGTCATATTATATATATATATAAAACAATCTGTAAAGTAGGTTTGGCTGAGAGTACTGATTGGCCCATGGACACCAAACAATTCAATGGTACAAATCTACTTACAACTTAATACTGGATTTCAGCCAGTGATTGCTATATAAATTAGGCCAAGGCTGATGGAAAAAACAATGTAACAAGTAACATGTATATAAGGCTGTGTAATTTGCATAAAATGCAAACTAGGTTGTCCATATTTAGGGAACCAGATTATGGCCACCATACTGTTTACAAGGGTGTAAGACCTAAAAGGCTGGAGGGTGGTAGAAGCCAAACAGCAGAACTGAGGCATAGCAATTTTGAGGTGACAAGCAAAATGAAGAAGGAGGCCACTAACAAAGTAGAAGTAATCATCTATTTTGCTTTAATCATGCTGGCTTTTGCCATCAAGAGAGGCCCAAATGAGGAAACAAGGTTAATCTGCCACAGAAACATATGTCACTGTTGAAATATCCTGTTTATTGTTTATTTTCAAGATATTTCTTTTTCCTTTACATGGGAGGGAAAAGCTCAGATTTCTCCCTTCCTGACAGAAACTGTTCTTAGTTAAACTAAGGCTAAAGACAAAAAGCACTGCCCAAATGCAATTTATTCTGCCTCTCTTCTCCCTGCAACTGTTTGTTTTAAAAAGGAAAGAAATAAAGAGTATTTCCCTCCTCTGTTGATAGGCTTATAAAAGTACGTAGTCACTGCAGGAGAACATTTGAGCTATGAAACCAGATCTACTCCTAACTTTGTAGTGTTTGTTCTCCTCATCTCTATTCCTGTGTATTTTTAATTTCAAATATAGAAAGATGTATGTTGAATCTCCTTTAACAAATCCCTTCTCGGACATTTCAATGAATCAGTACAAAAATGAACACACCTAAAATGCAGACAGTCCTATTTATATACCACAGGGAAAGAAGCAGGGTTCAACATCAGAGAAGTCATAAGCCCTATTCAGTCAATTTACAAAAGGATTAAAGTAAACAAGTGAGGAGAGTGCTACTGCCCTGCAGGCCATTAACTGGTGATTTACAGAGGAAGTTTTTCCTTTAAGTATGTCTTAGAGAAGCCAGGTTTGCAGTGACCACATTGTACTGATGCTCTGATTATGATGATTTTTAAAAATAGGTGTTGTTGATGGAGAAGAATCTATTAGTATCTAGTAAAAGACTGTATATTAGAAATTGTATTCGTATTTCTATATGAATATCCCCTCACAGGTGGAAATAATGAGGGTTTGGCCCCGTGGGGCCAGACTGTCTACTCAGATTTTGCTGCTGATGCAAACTCGTCAGACCTTCCTATCGCACCGTTGTCTGCTATCGATTACGCAATCCTGGCAAGAGCCGGGATGACAAGCCTCTCTGCTAGGTCGGAGAGTGGCTAATCCATTGCGGAGAACAGTGCAATAGGAAGCTTTTGCAGAGCGGCGGCAGCGGTGAAATCATGAGTGGATAATCTGGCCCCATGGGGCCGGTCCCTCATTATTTCCACCTGTGGAGGGATATTTGTATTTGTATATGAATTCCCCCATTTCTACTGTATATGTCTGCTAATTACAACTATATGACGCTGTGTTAGATGATAAACAAATTCAGTGTTGTTAAAATTAACTTTGATTATGAACTTTGTTGGAACATTTTACAATGCTTATTTCTTTTTTAATTTCCTTTGGAAAAATATGTTTTCCCATCTTCTTTTCTAATATGGACCATGAATTTGACAACAACCTCATTCAGATTCAGTAATAAATTATGGTTTCATTTTACAATAATATTAATCGAGATTCTTCTTTTCTCCCCTCTCCTATTCTTCTAAGTGGTAGCTTCTGATTTTAACTAACTACAGTCTAATGTTATGTCCAGTCCATGGATTAGTGAAACTATCTCTTGGTTTATAAACTGGTTTGTTTCAATTAAATATGGTTAAACTTAGCTACAGTTTAGAAATTGTACGTTATATGCTACACTATAATCATTTGAAGAGACCCTTGCCCAGCAGGCCGAGGCAAAGAGGAAGTCACAAAAGCAGCAAAACCAGGGAGCCGGACAGGGGACAGACTGGATTTGTCTTCAGTGTGGAAGGGACTGTCACTCTCGAACTGGCCTTCTCAGCCACACTAGGCGCTGTTCCAAGCCCTCCATACAGAGCACGCCACCATAGTCTTTCGAGACTGAAGGATGCCTAACTATAATCATTTGAAAGTAGAAATGGATAGTTTTCATTTCCTCTTGAAGGATGGGGGCATGCACGAAGCTTTTTGACATTATGCTAAACCGTAGTTTAATGTTACTTCCAAATGCGGCCAGTGTTCAGAATTAGAATATTAATAGGGACATGGAGTTAACATATTGATAATATATGATCAATAGCAATAATAATGTGTAATTGCTTCCATTTCAGGAAGGTTTTATAGCAAATTTTATTGAAAATAAAATCACTGGTAAACCAATGAAAGGTTGTTAATTAACAACATCCTTTCTAAATGGTTCTTTTCCAGTGTTTATCGCATATTGAAAATTTTTGTTACAGGTTGATACACTGGAGCCCACAAGGTGTTCCTGGTATTTTTGTGGAAGCCATATCTTCTATGCTAGAATGACTTAAAAACAATGCTTTTGTAACTAATTTGGGTTCAAGTGTGAGATGCATGAATTACGGTAGCATTTATGGAGTAAGAAGGTAATAGTTTAAACTTGAACAAAGTATTATCCAAGGCAAATCTGAGTTGTCAAATTTTTCCTATGAATTTTTCCTAACTGCTTTTAGGCTGGAACATCTTTAATCTGATCTCTTCCTATTTTCAGGCTCCTAGTTAATGGGTGCTTCCCTGCTCCCTCTGTTGTCTCCCACCTCCAGCCACTTCCCTTGCTTCCTTCTTACTGTGTATTCTCTTTTCTTTGTTTCCATTTTGTCTTGCCTCACGATTCCTTGCTGCTGCTATAGAACCTCTGTCTAATGGTGTGCAGCGGCTAGCCCACCTGCGCTCTAGCAGTCCCATCTCCTCTCACAATGATAACCGCCCTTATTCCCCTTTCCGACAC